GGGTAGGTTTAAAGCTTGGGGCTTTACCTGCTATGAGTAGAGCTAGTTTTTGTACCAAATCCAGAACATGTGTGCTGGGGTGTCTAACCCCAGTTTGCTTGCCTGCTCTCCCCTGCTGGCCGAATTCTGACCTTCCCTTATGCATGGCTTCTTTATCCTATCACAAAAGCCAGGTGCCAGAAGTCATCTGAAGACTTGGTGTGGTTTGAGATTCTGACACTAACTTGGTACTGTGACTCTGGGCTGTCACCTCATCATTCTGGACCTCTCTAAATCTGGAAGAATCCCCTCCGTGCCTGGAGGCAAGCAGTGATCCTCTTCATAATTCTTCTTTCTATTGTTTGCTATTCCAGCATCTTAATCAGCAGACTACAGCCATACAGAGCCCCCTCCTTACTCTCACCTCTGCTCTTTGTCTTTGCTTCAGCTCCTGCTGGGCTGATTTCTGCTTAGCCTTCTCCACTCTGCTGACAGGTTCTTTAACTTTGGATTTTTCCTTACGTGCAGGTGGATCCATGGCTTGGCTTCTGAAAAGTTCTTTGCTCTGACCTGGATTGTATAGAAAGGGGCAGATGAAAGAAAGAAACAGAGAGAAGAAAAGAGAAGGGAAGGGAAGGAAGGGGAAGGAAGGGAAGGGGAGGGGAGGGGAGGGGAGGGGCAGACAGGAAGGGGAAGGGGAGGTTGTAACTCGCCTAAGAGTAACTCAGCCCATCCCTTTGACAGGTGAGGCATTTAGAGTGGCCTGATAAGAGAGAAAGACCCCTCGACCTCGCTGGATGTCCCTAGGCAATTCTCCTTCCCACTCTGAACCTTAGTTTTCTGTCTGCAAAATGGGACAATCGTCCCTTCCCAGACTTCCCTCCAAGAACTACCGCGTGAGCATCAGCTGAGAAGGCCCAGTGACAGCGGTCCGAACGCCGCAGCTGCTGTGCCCAGCGCGGCGCGGTTACAGTTAGGACACCGAGGCCGAGAGGGCAAGCCGGCCCAATTCCTGCAGCGGAAAGGTCGGAGCCCCTTACCCAGCCTCGGGGCCAGGACATCCCCCACTGCCCAGCCCCGCAGCCGCCGGCCCACTCTGCTCGCAGGACACCCGCTGCCGGCGCTCCCGGGC